ACTTGAGCAAAGTTCTCTCAGGCAGTCAGGGACACCACAAGGCACCTGATTCTGGGAAATGGAATAGAATAGACAGACATGCAGATTCTTTCTGGAGATAAGTTTCCATGTTTTTAATTACATCATCTCTCCTGAGGAGGAGAGCTTGCCTCCCTCATTCTTCCCAGCTGGAGATATTTGTTTTGCACCAGTTAAACAGACGCACTGAATAAAAATCTAGAAGAACAGTTTTGTACATGCAGAAGTGCACACATAGCCAACACATGGTTGAACTGCAGTGTTCACACAGACACGGGTGATCTTCAGATACAGGATTTGATATTATCTCTTCCATGCACTATCCTCCAGTGCCATATATTACATAACACCTGCCCACAAGGATTTCTATGATCTATTAAAAAGACCTCTTCAGTTTGTAAGCAAAAATAGAAGCACAACAAAATGTTCAATTATAGCAAAATGGGGCTCGTGTGTGTGAATTTAAATGAGGACAAATCCTCTTACTGATTTTTATAATATATTTGGCTTCATAAATAAAAAATATTAGATTTTAGAGTCTGAGCCTTTCAAATATTAACAAGGATACCAGATTGTAAAAGCAATTCTCAAGAAGCCTGTTTATCCTTTATGAAGATGAGGAATTCCATGTACCCCATTCTTCCATTTGAATAAAAATATTTAAGTTCTTTCTTTAAATTTTTTGGTACCTAAGAAAACCCAAATGCTGAAGCCATACTTCATTTAACAACACACCCATAGCAGAATCATCAGTGATTCTAAGACAAGATAGAAGAAGAGCTACTACGAAAACAAGAGATGCTTGACTTCTTTTTTCTCCTATGCAGATTTCCCCTATCAAAGATATTTATCATTTTTTAAGATAAAAGGGCAACAGAAATTGTGTAAAGTTTAGTTATTTTACTACTTTAATGATCTCTTGGTTTGGGAATTGATTTTACAGTACCCTGTAAATCCATTCCTCCTTTGACAATGATCAAGTAGATAATAAGCAATAAATCACTGCTGCAACTGAGAACTGAACATTCAAGATAAGGTTTTAGATTACTTCTGCCATCCGGGTATGAGACAGTGCTTTTCAAGCAAAGATATATTGTCACAGTTTATTTGCAATTAGAAAGATATGGATCCCATCAGTTAAAGCCTGTTTCCCAACAAACATGTAGGCCTTTATACAGCCAGAATCATAATTTCAGCACGAAGAGATTTCTAGAAATACATACTGCTTCCATAGAAATTAGTGCTTACAATACTAAATACTACTGAAAAATAGGATTCCCTCCTTGCCAATGCCACTTGGTCATTGAGGAAAGCTGCCTTTCCAAACCAGTTGAATAAACACCCAACCTCCAGCCCCACCACTTATTACAGCTGAGTGTAGGATGTTTACAGGAACTAAAAATTAGCTGAACTATATAAATACAGGAGTGACTTTCAGGATATCAAAAAATAAATCTGCACAGACATACTCTGGTGTATTTGCACCACTCATACAGTACATGCAACTCTTATTAACTAACATTATTAAGTCAATCCATGCATTTTAACATTCAATCTTCTGAATATCAGAACACAGTAATGTCCATGTACAGTCCCTGACGTGGTAGAGATCCAAAAGCAAGAATGTTTCTCTCTCACAGCCCCTGTAGAAGAGCATGCTATTGCACTTCTAAGCCAAGGTCCTTGATGTTCAGTACAGGCACCTTCCAGAAATCCCAATTTTTAAAACTGAAACTCAACTCTAAAATATGGATGGGAGATAAATGGGGTAAAACAAACTGGGAGTCCTCAAAAATGTCCATCTCAAATTCTATGCAAAAACAACCCTTTGTTTATATTTCCACAGTTTCCTCAGTGTGTTAAATTTTACAGCATTTGTTGCAACATTTGTACATCTTACGTTTTTAAAATAATTCCCATTTCTCCTCTAGAACTTTAAGGCACTTCTACCATTTCAATTATTTTCATTCTTACTTTCACCTCCAGTTTCAGCTACTCAGAAATACAAAACATTTTACTAGCAGAAGAGCAAAACACTCCTCAGCCTCAGCATCTTAACTTGTCTTTTGTAGGTGTGTTTAATTTGATGTCCAGTCTTGAATAAACAAGACCTTAGCAGTGCAGGAAGATAAAATTTTGATGAACTCAGTCAAGAGGCAGAGCCTAAGCCTTCTCTAAGTTCTTCTCTGAACAGGTGTTTGCAGCTTTACTGGGTAAAAGGAACCACAGATGCAGATTATTTCATGCATAGAGGGGGGAAGCCCTCCAAATATTTTAACAGTTGTTCTTTGTATGAAGGAAAAGATGAGCTCAAGCAATTCTGCTGAAGGCAGCTGTGAGTTCCAAGCAAGGAAAGACAGCACACAAGCAGGCCAGTGCAAAGTGACCAAGGACTTTGGGGTATTGCTCACAAGTGGCCACAAAACGTGCTCAGAAGAATACCACAGGCAAGCCAAACACTGGACTTCACAGACACTCCACTTACTCAGCAAGGGTCAACCTTGGTATTGATCACAAGCTTTTATTACCAAAGGCAGCTGTACCTTGCACCTGCACATAGAGCTAATGCCAGCCACCAAAAGCAGTGCTGTGTGGCCAGTGTCACTCTGGATCCCCAGCCTGATTTTCGTTCAGGTATTTCCCTCTGCTGCAAAACACCAGGAACTGATCCATGTCACACATCATTGGCTTCACATGAACAAGATGAGGTAATTTGCTTGCTGAGCATCAGTGTAAAATCTGCCTCTTCTGTTCCCAAACTTCCCTTGCTGTGTTTGTGAGCCTGTCTTGCCTCATTCTGCAAGAGTTGCTTCAACTCCGCATCCCTACCAGAACTACACAGCTGCCAGGCCAAATCCCCATCATCCCTCCCCAGCTATCCAGTACTGCAAAGTTCACCTGGGATCATGGCATAAATATGCATTTGGGCAACACTACAAGACCCACCTTCTTCAGCTGCAAACAACAGCCATGTTTAAGACATGTTAAAATGTTAGGACTTGGTATTTCATGACCAGAGAAAGCAGATACTTTCATTTCATTCAAACACTTGGCAAAAAAAAAAAAAAAAAAACCTCAAACAAAAATACAGTGTGGATTAAACAATTTATTTATTTATTGCAGTTACAAACCACTTCAAATTATTTTCATGTGCTGACATGTGACAGCTGTGTTTGAGTACATGAATTAGACACCAGTACTATATGAAGGTATGCAAAAGTTCAAGTTCACAAGACTGGGCTGACAAATTGCACATGAACAAGGCTTATTAAAAAAAAAAAGCAGCTCTTACGTGGCATGTGGAATGCTAAGACAGCATTAACCAAAATGAACACCATATAAATTATAATACATTTACTTTGAACTAGTTTGTTAACAAAAAACATTTCCTTTCTTCTAAGTCCAAATACTGTCTAGAACTAGGAAATGCTAAATGTTTACAGCAAAGAAAGCTTGGAAAACAATTACCAGCATTTTTTTTTAAGGCTTCAAGCTCTGTAGCTTCTGCATCAAAGTCCTTTTTATAAATATACAGACAGGATTTATCAAACCAAGTAAGACTGTTGTTTTTAAAACTATTTTAACTGAGGTTGTATTAGGTGTGCAAGTTGCTTAAAAAATCTTCAAAGAGGTGCTAGCAATGAATTAGATCAATAAATAAGTTTACAACCTTCTATCACCACACATATTCCTGTATCACCAGACAGGACACAGGGTAAGGAACAAAGTGGTTACAGCAATGGGACCATCACAGAATAATGGCTGTCCTTGGTTCACCATTCGTAATCCACTAACCATCTTTCCAATGCTTATTAGTCCACCTTTCCCAGGACTAAGAAATCCTCCTAGTTTTAATTCTGATAAGGAGAAAATAGCTTCCTTTTTAAAAATACCTGTATTTTTGGTCATAATCATCATTTACAGAACCACTATAGTGAAGCTAAACAAATAAATACCTAGGTTTGGTATACTGACATTTAAATTCAACAAAGTATTTCATTTAAGTGTTAGGGAATAAAAAAATAATATCTGGGGGAGGGAGAACAGAGAGCTAGATTATTGCAAGAATATTTTTATATTTTTTCTACCAACAGCAGTTACTCTCATTGGCTATCCCTTTAAAAACAGAAGACTAGAGTGAAACAAAGGAAAGAAATCCCAGTCAAGATCCAGGCGACAACATGTACAGATCCCATTGGAGAGAAGAGGAAAGCTGAAGCTTTTCTGCAGATACTGTTCCTGATGACATGACTGTTTTAAGTTGCTCAGGAACTGAACCAGTTCTTCTGAAGAATACTTTCATATTCCTCCTGAAGGAATACTTTCGAAAGCTGTTATTTCCACGAAAAGCAAACCATGGTGGGGTCAGCACAAACCACACCACAGACAAGGCCATACACTGTGGATTGGGATAACAGCAAAAACAGACCGGGTGATATGTTTTTAACCTTTATTTTGGTCTTGGGTTATGCCCAGCTAACAATTAGGAGCACAACCTTCTCACAAGGAGACTCAGAATACAGAATTCCAGAGAAAACAACAAAAAGCAAGGCACAGCAGATATGAGGCCTGGTAAGTATTGGATATCATTGATAACAACTTTTCCTCACAGCCCTAAGTAACAGAAGCTACTAAAACAGACCATTGATAAAGCAATGAAGAGTTCATGGGTAACTGCAGAAGTTCACTACCACTTGTCATTCCCAGAAAGCCTAATCCTGTAGTTTGTAACACAAAGCAGCCAAGAGCTCAGCTTTGAGAAACCTGATCTCCATCTCAGATCAGATTTCAGATCACACCTACCAGCCCAGGTAATTCACAGGGAGGCAATTCATCTCTGTCTGTAGAAACACGGCTTGACAAATATAAATGCACGTATGTATTCATAACAGCTTCTCCTTCTGCTGTTGTCCAAGCATAGCCAGGTGCAGCAAACATCTGACTGAAAGCTGGAGCAGGTACAGCTTCCAGTCGGGGATGTTTACAGCAACAGACTACAATACATCACTGCAAGGGCCTTGGTGCAGAGCAGCTGGTCACCTCTAGGAGAGGGAAATAAAAAAAGAAAGGATTTAAGACTAGCTTCTGTAGCATTCCCACCAATTACTGTGCAGCTAATATTTAAGAAAACATGGTTTTATATTCAGTAGCAAAAATAGTTTTAGATTCATACCAACTTACGTTAACATTTCTAAATGTAGCAACTAGATGAAAAATTCTCAATTTCAATATACATTTTGAGACGTCTCCAGGTTCAAATATATTAATTCTTATTTATATATTACTTTTTATTTATTTATAAATATATATTTAATTTATATATTTAAAATAGACATAAAATAATTCTTATTTTAAAGATACATTGACTTTACTTCCCTATAGGCTCATTCCAGGAGCTCTCAAAAACAGACTTCCGCTTTGAACTTTCCCATGAATTTTGAAAATGGCTATTCCTTCATGAACATTTATGGTTTTAAATACAGCTCTATGCAAAATTAAAGACAAAAACAATAACAAGCCATGTTCTTAATGAAGAAATATCAGAAACAGAAGCTAGACAGAATTCTGAAAATATTCACTCTCAAGGTCAGAATCCTGCCTGATCAGTTTAAAGCTATATTACAAGCAAGTGATTAAAATAAACCCAAACCAAACCTACTCTCTTTGGGTAAGCATTAAAGGAGAGGAATGGGGTGAGAGGGAAAGCAACCTCAGGATGGAACCGTTTCAGTCCCCATCTTCACGTTCCTATCAAAACTCCCACAACACTTGCATTCAATTCTGTAACAATTTTTTCTCTAAGTTATAAGAACCTTTATAATACTAAAATTTAGTATTTACATTGTATAATACTCATAGAGGAAATAGTGTGTATTACACCAAACTATTTTACTAAAAGCATTTCACTCGATTGTTGCACCTTCTCCTGATACTCTGATTTCACACCGTGGAATTGGGAGCATTCAACCATTCTGGCTTGATCATATTCACATACTACTTAGAAGCCTTAATTTTGTAAGTTTATAGCAGAATGCCTTCCTCCCACTAACAGAGCTGCAAGCAGAATGATATATTCCCCATTTAGCAGTCCTTATCACTTCCAAATGAAAATAATTTTTCAAGTCACAAGTTTTCCACTGCCAGATTATACATAAACTTCAGCAATTCAAGGTTGCTTGTTCTCTGTTTAGACCTCCACAGCAACTCGTACAACCAGAAAGTATGACAAGGAGTTTAAAACTGAAGAAAAATTACTGTATTCAAGATTTCTCAAGTTACAGAAACCCAATCACATCCAGTTTTCAAAGAAAGGTTTCCCTCTACAACACCAGAAATTGTTACTAGTAAGTGAATTTTGTTATTACAGCAGCATGCCAAGATTAACGAGGAAGTGGCATGCAGTCACTATGGATACCATGCTGACCTTCATTATTTTTGAGAATAAATAACTAAAAAGCCAGTGGTCATTTGCAACAAAGGCCTCTTCAGGCTGTTCCAAAGCTGAAAATTCCTATTTTACATTGGAAAGAAATAGGCTATTTCATGCAGAGGTAGGCACATGGTATTTGACTAATTAGGCTGCTGAGCATTAAGTTGCAATGAACCATTTCTTTGGCTGCTTTCTTTAGCGCTTCTTAAGGAATAATGAAGGTTACTACAATGTTACCTGCCCAAAGAGAACAAATTCTCCACAACCTTGTTTTGTTTCACCATATACATCATCACAAAACTTCCCATCTACATGACAATGACATCGCTTGCTGCTTTATTGGATTCACTATCAACTATAAATACCTGCATAACATCTTACAAAGTATTTATATTTGTATAAAAGGAGTTGAAATTTTCATTCAAACGTGGTGTTGAAAAAGCCAGTGGCATTACAGGTGACAGCACAACTACATGCTTGAAAGACACCAATTTCTAGCAAAGTCCAGTCAAAACAGAAACGATACATTAATTAAGAAGCCTCTTCAGCTATTTTCCCAACCACTTTCTTCTTTTCAAACAAAAAAGTAGAGAGCATACTCCAATTTTCCTTAATGGCACAACCCTCTTGTTTTCATAAAGACTAAAAGCTCTGAAAATAACCAGAATTTTTTCTAATATCACAAGCTGAAGAACATTGGCTGCTGGCTTCTGTTAATGCCTTTAACTGTTTCTTTTGAGAACACTAATAAAAGATACCATTCTTCGAAGCGTGCATTCCCCTCCTAACTCTACCCACAGAGAACACAAGGAATGGTGCAGATCTTCAATTATACATGAAGTCCTTCTGCCACCTGAAATTTACCTCTTTGTTATTAACAGCAACATAAGATCACCCGCCTAGGAACTGCTCTTCAGCTGTCAATACTCCAGAATAACAATAACAACAAAAAATTAAAATCCTTATTTAACTACCAGAAAATTTGTGAATGTTGGCTGTTGACTTCCATTGTGAAGTTATTCCTACTGTATTTAGATTTGTCTGGAGTTCAAGAATCCCTTTAATAGTTAGGATTTAATGTTTAATTCTCTTCTGGTCAATATGCATGACTTTAAAAAAACCCTCATGGGATTTCTCTCATGGAAAATCAGGATTTAGAAGAGACACCATTACAATACTGTTTGTGTTCATTCACCAGTTCCAAATCAAAGCCATGCAGATCACCAAGACTTACTGCAATTTTCCCAAGCCTCCATCATTAATTTACCAGTCACACTGAACTTCTATTTTACCTTTCATGAACACCTGGAGCAAAAAGTCCAGCAAAACAGGAAGGAGGAGAAAGAAGAGTATGAAGAAGCAAACAGCCAAAGAGCTTCCTCCTACTCTTCCCCCACATCTTAAGACTTCCTCACTCTACAACCACCACCACCACTGAAACTCACTGTATTTGGGACCTCAGTTGCCATATAAAAATATTGAAATGGGAATGGAGCCCACGGAGTCTGTGTGTGCATGCTCATGTGTTTGGAGCCAAGATCTTGTCAGTCCATCTGTCAGTCAAAGCAATTTAGCCTCAGATGCCCGATGCAAGCACAGAGTGATGAGAAATGACAGAGGCAGACAGATGTTCACTGTTGCCATGAGGTTTTTTTTGAAGTGACGCATATTAACCTGAAGAGAACTGAGAATTAAACATTAAAACCTAACTATTAAAGGGATCTTTGAACTACACTCAAATTGAAATACTTCAATTTGAAGTATTTCACAGCAAAAAGAAGAACTTCACAGCAGAAATCAAGAGCTTCCACTGTGAACTGCAGTGAACTTCTGACACCCACACAGAGTTCACTGTAGAACTACAAGTTAATACCCATCACAATGAATTACGGTGAAGTAGGAAGTGAACATGAGTAGTTTTAACACTGCATTTCCTGTGTATTTTCAGAAAAACATGCTCAGCTTCTTTTGATCACTAATACTTACACAGTGCAACTAATAAATTCAGCACAAGAGGGAGAAAGACCTTTTAAACTGGGACATGAATTCTAACACAATGAAAGATTGAATCTAAGATTACCAAATGTAAAGAAAGAGGAAAAAAGTATCTTTGTATTTTAAATACGTCTGGGAAAGCATGAAAGTAGAATGTTACTAGCACACCTCAGATGCAATTTCAGTGAGGGCTGGATGCATACACCATATGAAATTATTTCAGTAAAACAAACAACTAGAAGTCTGTGTGGTAAATTGTTTTTATCTGACAAAAGGAGTTCTAAGGAGAAGAGACTACTGAGAAAGGATAATGGTGCGAGACAAAATAAAGTTCAGATCCTGATCCAAGATTACCCCACATCTTAAGTCTAAACAAAGTTCAAAAGTCATAAATTTAGAGTGCTCTGTCTAACAATGATGACAGCAGTTACATACCCCCTTCTTCCCCACCACAGTCTCATATTCCTCTGGCTGACCATCACAGCTCAGCCTAAAGAAACTGTAAGTTTATTTATGGAACAGCATCTTGGGTCTCCATGGGGTGGAGTACCATACCCAAGATGTCATTCAGGCCAATTAAGTCTTTATTTCAGGGAAGTTCTGCAGTAACTGGCAATCTCCACAGACACCACAGGAAGTAGGAAGCGCCTAATTCAAGGTCATTTTTCTTTAAAAATTAGCTAAAAAAATTTAAAACTCATCTACCACACTAAAGAGTTATCATAATGAATTACCCTCATAAAGTCCCAAACAGAAGGTTAACCTGCAATCAAGAACAGAAAACAGAAGAAACAATATTACCACCCTTACTTTTATTTCCCTTCCTAAGTACACAGTCATCCAGCTGTTTATATTGCTGTGCAACATACAGAAACATGCACTGTTATTTTCACTTTCTAGATTTTAAAATTTTCCAGCAGGACAGCCTCATCCCAATGCACAAGAGAAACCTGAACAACCAGAACTACAAAATTACAGGAAAAATATGAATACTGTGAATGTATTAGAATAGATTTCACACAAACAGTCCATCTTTTCCCTCAAGTTTCCATTGAAATATTCCTTTCTCAGTGTCAGCAAGAAATTTTGATTACACAACCTCAGTAGGTTTGACATTATACTGCTAACCATGCCATAGTTCTAATTTCATAGTTTCAGCTATTTACCTCCTTCGGTCCCTCTTACAGGAAAGGAACTTTTGCCTCATTCCTGGTAAAGATCTACAGGGAAACTAGCTTGTTCAATGTGTGACAGATTATTGGAAATATTTAATAATAAACTATTAAAACAAATCACAGCTCCCTCTACCTGACTTATCTCCATGTTATACTGAAGATTCTTCCAACTGCTAATATGGGTGCATAATGTGTCTTTTCTTCTTCCAAGGTAAGTAATCTCACTGATCCAAGATGACAAAACTGTCTGTAAATCTGGGCTCTTTCATTTTAAAGGCATCTTTAAAGCATAACATTCAAAATATCTTCCAATCTGAAAAAACACAAAGAAGTTCATACCAGTGATCTGATTGCTCTAAGAGAGTGGAAGACAGAAGCTTAAGGACAAAAAACAACCTTAAACTTGACAAGAAATAGGAATAAAGAATACACCTAACAGATGTTCACTGCAGTGCCCTCTAAAAAATAATCTAAATATCAGGAATGCTGAAGATTGAATTATTTGTAGTAAATTCACTATTGAAGTCCTCTACACCTGCTGACTCAAACATGGCCGAGCACAGATGGAAAAACCTCCCTAAAAAGACAGAAACCAAAAAATCTATAGATTTTTTATAGAAGTATGTCATTTGTTATGTAGGTTGTTTGGGGGCTCTTTTGAGTGGATATCAATTGAGTCTGGTGTCGCAGACTCCAATCAATGACACATTTAGCACACTCCTTCACTTAATGGCTTTTCACTCACATTTGCAATTATAATTCTCTGGTGATATCAGCTGCCAACAATAGTTCTCTGTAACACTGTGAGGGAACAAGCAGAGAACTGCAAGCAGACATTCAAAGTCCCTTTGCTTACCTTGCTGAACCAGGGCACATTTGGACAGACTGCCAACAGTAGGGTGCAACAACTAAGTCTGCAGCAATTACTAAATTGCTGCAGAAGCTAGTAAGGGCCAGGACACCAAGAGATCCACAGGGAATGTTCCCATTTTAAGGATAATCCTCTCTGAATGTATTCCAATCCTTCCAAATGAGTACAGTTGCAAGTATGACAAGTCCTGGCATCATCACACTGAATTCTGAAAGCAGAGTCTGGAGGCTGCTGCTGCAGCCTGTAGATCCTGCTGAAAGTACAGTGTCACAACCACCTATTTTCCCTGCTGTATAAAGAGCACTCAACTGCTCCACTGCAGTTATCCTGAAGGATATCAGACTGAGAAGCAATCTATACACTGGTATCAATCCTAACCTTGCTCCCCAGGCATATACACTTTTTAAAATTACTCCAAAGAAAATACACTCAACCCAGCAAGAATGCAAGTTACAAACATCAGATAAGTGCACAGCACTTGGGTTTAGAAAACATCTTTGTTCTTATGCAGAAGTTTTTGTGTTGTTTTTTTTAACAAAGCCAATTACTTGTTTTGCAATAATACTCAGGAGATCCATTCTTTTAAGCATACTCGTAATCCTGCTTCCACACAGGAAACAGTTCACGCCAGAACAGCACAGACATGGCATCCACTTCAGAATCAACAATCTCAAAATAAAACCAAAACCATACAGCATGAAATATTACAAAACTCCTTTTAACTACTTTCATACTAATTATCTCTATTTAAAATGCAGATTTCACCAAGTCCTTCTCAGAAAATAATTTTCAGGATTTACTGACAGTAATTGGAACCAGACACAGTGCACTGGCCAAACAGCTCATTTTGAAAACATTAACTCCATATTATAGAATCATTCTTACATCAGATCTGACACACAGGCTTGAAAAATTACTGCTTTCAGAGCCTCTCAAACACCATCTCCCCCAGAATCAAGCTACCTCTTTCAATAATTTATAACAAACAAGAATTAAAATAGACTTTCCTAGTTTGTAAATTTTCCAGATAAATTTGAGTTATGTTTCCTACTTGGAACAACATAAGAGCTGAAATTTAGTTACTGGACTAATACAATACAAGGCATACAACTTTTTGAAGAAGACAAAAGTAGCATTTAGTAGGAATTTTTTTTTCCTAAATAATGAAAATAATTTTTGATTTTCATACCAACTGTTAAAAATTTTGCTTACCAACTACTAAATTAGTGGGGTTTTTTTCTAAATTCTACGCAGCATTACACCAAGATTAATTGAATCATAGAATATCCTGATTTGGAAGGGACCCATCACAATCATGATGTCCAATGCCTGGCCCTGCACAGGACACCCCATGAATCACACCATGTGTCTCTGAGTGCTGTCACCTATTGAAGCATCATGGCATTCACAAGAGGTTCCCACCATCCTTGTGCCTGACAACTCAAAACAGAGTCCCATCACCTTCTGGAAAGAACGTGGAAAATGCATGGATGAAATTAATTCTGATAAACTTAAGGAGTTAAAAAATATTTATCAAAGGCAGAGCACAGCCAACTCCTGGGGGGCTCTGATGAAAGTTGAATGGCCGAGAGAACATTCTTTGACTTCAGGACAACTTTCAGGACAGGTCTCCCACCACAGACTCACCTGGAGTCTGAGGTGTCTAGAGTTCCATGAAGAGAAGCTGGCCTGGAAAACTGGCCAGATCTCTGGATCACACAGGTGCAACCAGCAGCTGAACACCCAGCTCAACTCAGCCAGGTAGGACTCCAGGGGCCATCCCAGAGCTGCAAACACTCACCAGGAAGCTGGTGCAGAGCACACCCTCAGCAAACTGGCAGGGGATCAGAAGTGGAGGGGAGCAGGGAAGAGAGGGATCATACAGGGAATAGCAGCACTTTCACAAACATAGACAGATAAGCCCAAGAATGGGGCCAAACCAAACCTCATCAGGCCCAGGGCAGGAAAGCAAAGCTGTGCCCCAGGGCAGAAGAACCCCATACCCCCAGCACAGGCTGGGGAGGGCTGGCACAGCACCAGCTCTGCAGGAAAGGGCCAGGGCACTGGGGCAGACACCAGAGGGAACAGGAGCCAGCGGGAAGGGGGTGATCCCTGCCTGGCCAGACGCTGGCAGGGTCACTGCACACATCTGGTGCCCAGGTGGGGACCCCACTCCAGCAGGAGCCTGAGCAACCAAGGAGGGTCCAGCCATAGGTACCCAGGTAGTCAAAGGCCTCAGGGGCATCACCCACAGGGAGAGGCAGAGGGAGACGGGCTTGCTTTCTCTGGCACACAGAACAACAGGACCTTCTGAGAGTGTCTACAGCTACACCAAGATGGGAGCTGTAAAGACAGGGCAGACAAACACCCTCAGCCCTGGCAGACAGGATAAGGAAGAGCAATGGCCACAAAAGGTACCATGGAATACTCAGGTTGGACACAATGACAATCTTTTTCACTAGGAGGGTGGTGAAAAGCAGGCACAGGTTTCACATGGAGGCCATGGGTTTGCTGCTCTTGAGGGTTTTCACTGCTTCAAAGGTCAAAGCCATGACTTACCTCACCCAGTGCTACTTCTATCCCTGCTTTGAATGAGTGGCTGGACCAGAGACCCCCAGAAGCTTCTTCTGACCATTACACCTGCAACACCATAATTCATTAATTCCTGTGATATGCTTCCAGCAATTATAGCCTTGTTTCTATCATTGTCCTCAGACATAATGAAGTCGATATTGGATACAGAACTAACTATATCTAACTAACTATGCAGTCTTCTCTATAAATAACTAGGTGTTACCAATAGATTCCACTGTCAGCAGGTCCAACAGTTCTGAAATCACAAATACTTGATGTTACCACTATTTTTATTAGGTGAAGCCAAATATTTTAAAAAAATAAATTACAGAGAAAATAGAAGTTGAATACCTAAGCCTACTGTATTTAAATATGCTGACAAACCCTGTCCCATGGTCACTCCTGTAGATGACTCATGTTCTTCCAGAAAAAGAACCCTTCAAGATTGTAACTTTATGCCAGTGTATTAAAGAACAAGCAATATGAAAGATATTTTTACTTAGCTTGCATGCAAGGACTCCCTCAAAACTGAAAAAAGGCAACAGACTGTTTCCTACAATACCCTATATTGAACATGGAAACTTTAAAATGTTACTCTGAAACAGTACACAGGAATGTCTTACATTTAAGGACTGACGACTGATTTTCAGACTCTATCTTTTTTCCCAGAAGATCTAATTTTTATTTCCTCCCAGTACTGAATACAGCTTCTCAAACAGTCATAAACTAAATACTGAAGAGGGACAGTATGACCCAAACTATTTTTCAGTCACACTACAAACAAGTGCAGGACCTCTGTAATAATCAAAATTAAACCATTTACAGTAAACAAACAGTTTAAAAGTAACTCAGGAGTAGAAGAACTGGTTCCTACAACTTATTCCCACAACAGTGCAGTTTAAGCAACAATTCAATGCAACCAATGAAATAGCTTGGTGAAGTGGAAACCTACATCATTACCTGGTATTAAAATCCAGGGGTTTGGGTACTTCTGGTGCAGCAAATCTGAAATTCCCACACTGTCACCAAGTTTCAAACTAACAAGGAGAGCTACTCAATTTTATCAAGACTAGAAGCTAAAATGAACTCTCTTTCTTGTGTTGACTGATGCTTTTCATACTTTTTGGTTAACTAACTAAAGCAGGTCTCTAAAAAAAACACAAACCCCAACCCTCTGCCCACATTAGTGGGTAGTGTACTGCAGTTGGAGGAGATCTGCAAAACCATAGTTTGTGCTGAAGACAGTATTTAAACTACATGTACCCCAGGGTATCTCACTTCAGAACAGCCTCTAATCCTGCCTAAGGTCTAAATATCCATAAACCAAACCCATTGGTGAGGTCTGGAAGCACATGCTTCAATTCTGATTCTTTTAAAACATGACTTGCATGTTCAGCAGGATCAGCAATAAAGAATGCCAGTACACAGCCTACAGTGACAGGCATTCTGGAGATAACACACAGTTGTTCTCAAGTTAATCTTGAAGCAATTTTTATTAGCTCTGCAAAATACAGAGTAATACAAGAATATAACAACTACGTGTAGCTGAATTTTGTGTTGTACCTCAAACAGAAAACAACTGCGCAACAAGAACATCATTTAATGCAACTTAGCATTGCTTTATAATTATCTTAATGAGGGAGGCTGTTGCACAATGACTGTTCCAAAACCATGAAAAGAATACTCACACCACAGAGCCCGGCTACTAGTACACTTTCAGGATGGTTTAAATTGAACATGGCAAAAGCACTGTGACAGAGGGTAGTCATGTTCTCTGTCTTCCAGCTGAGGGATTCCTAGTTCTTCTACCACTGCAGGACTTTTTGGATTTCATGATGCAATTTTCTTGGACAACCACTATATTAGCTACAAAATAATCCTGGAAAGAAATAGAGGAAAACAGATGAGTTTTCTGCAATAGCCAGCAGATGATTCCAATCACTGGAGAGCAGTTCAATCCTCAGCACTGAAAGGAGGGCACTGCATGGGCCAGGACTGCCTGTTTTGGTGGCACTGCAGTGCTAAACCAAGATAGGTGAATTGTTTAACCACAACAGAACCCTCCCTTTCCCCAGCTCCCTACAAAGACAACAATACTAAGGACATTTGATAACAACATTTTGAGTGGGGAACACTAAAGTGATCAAGATTCAGATCTCAGAGAAAGAGTAAACAACAGAAAATTAATTTGGCAAAACCACACTTCTTTATATGTAGTATTAACTTTGCAACCATTTAGATGCAGCTTTAATACTTCCCTGCCTTGCAAGAGGAACCTGACATTTGGAAAACAAAAAAATCACCAGAAGAACATGAAGCTGCTTTTCACTCTCTGCATCGAAGTTCACCCCCACCACAAGTCTGAACACTCTCCTTCAGCGTCCTCTGTTAACACTGCACATTAACATGGAGCTCTTCCCACAGGCTTCTGTGCCAAACACAGTCAGCAGACTCCACCTCCATGGAAATCAGCTGAGCAATTCCACAGCAATCACTTCTCCTAAATGCTGGAAGGAGTCCCAAGTCTGTTTTCCGTTCCCAATGCCCCACTTCCCAGTACTTGGTACAGTGCAGGTTAGTCCCAAAAGCACCCAGCCCTTGGGGAGGCCAAGGCAAACCAAAAGAACACAAGAATAAACGAAAACGTTTCTGAGTAGTCAGAAGCCTCTTAAAGCACCTCAGACAAAAATCTCCTTGAAGACTTTGCTGGTATAACACATTGCTGAATACAAATATTCCCAAAAAATATCTGTGAAAACCTCCACCCAAGGATGTGGTTCTAACCTCCTTCACTGACTGGAAATGACACGCGTGCTGCTGACACATGAGCATCAGTTATTTCATTAGGTCAAGGATACAGCTCTGCAGAATTAGCATCAGTGATGCAAGCCAAGCCCAAGAATAGAGCTCCCACACAAAAATGTCATTAAATCTGGACTTTCTGCACTAAAGATTTTATTTTATATATAAGAGCCTGAAATAAAGCTCATTAGAGCTAGGCATCAACCATAACAAATCAGCAAAAAAAAAAATTAAAGCTGCCCCCTTCATATGAAAAATATTTACAAAAATAGAAAATAAGCAAACATATGGCTCTTCATAGGAATCCTGCCACACTCAGTTCATGAACCAGACAATGTCCCCTGGAAGAGGTTTGAAGTGCAAGGATGCAACAGTCCTTAAGATTTACTTCACCTGTTGAAAGAGCCAAGACCATATTAGCTCAATAGAAATGCTGTAAAATCACAAAAAATTCCTCTGAGCAATTAATGCTATTTAAAAAAAAAAATCAACTTCATGCAAAGTCTTTAACTTCCTTACAGAATGTGAAGCATTCAAATATAGCTGGTGCTAGAGCAAAAAGCATCATGATTTCAATGCTGCTGATGATTGAAATCAGCAGCATTTCTAGAACAAATAGGTTTTGTGGAAATTGCTAAAAGTTACTCTGTACAATAGGACCTACAAATGCACACTTAAGGAAATGCGGCAAACACAGGCTTCCAGTCATTTGTGTACAATAAACTCAAGCACCAAAACTCACCACTCTTGCACAAAGCCATAGTCAGCTGCCTTAGGCTCTGCTTAAATGCAATAAACAGAATCATAGTTGGCAAAATCTGTCAAGCTCTGTACGTAAGTGAAAGCTAATATTTAATCTTGCCAACACCAACTTCACTAAAACATTACTTAAAAGTACAACACCTCAAACTAATTATATTTTACAATTTAAACCAGTAGCTTGAAAGACAGGAAACACCAGAGTTATCAATAGCCTGTATACCACAGTGCTTCAGCCTCCAATGATCTGCAAGTCCCATATGTTCAAAGATTAACCAGACAGCTAAAATAACTTGATTCTACAGAGGAGGAATAAATGACTGAAGCGAACAGCCACATAATTCAAGTTACCAGCAGATTATAAACTGTCTAAACTATTAAAAAGTGTATTTGTAGTGTATCAGTAAACTGACAGAAAACTCGTAGTCACTTCATTTAAAGCAGGCAACTTAAGAAAACCTTACCCCTTCTCCCCACCACCACCACCAACAAAAAAAAAATATTATTAACAGTCTTTGAAAATTGCAGCAGAGGTTTGGTTTCACTGGGATGTCCGACACTCTCAGGAGAAATTTAAAAGTAGTATTACACATTACAGTGATTCAAGCTGTGCAAATAAAGGTCTTGTTTTTTAATTTCTATATAAGCAAGAAGTCAGGTATTGTTAACTACAAGAAGGAGCATCATACTCAAGTTCGTGTTGTGTAAAAGAGCAACAGACTTCTCCCTGATCTTGCAATATACAACTTCACATTAACATACAAAATCAGAGCTTCCATCAGTTTGTTAGAACTAAGGAATGTTTAAGTGCACAGATTCATTAAACTTAGATGAGATTTTACTGCTTCTAGTTAATATTTGGCAAAACCTGACTCTTAACTGAAACATCAGCTTAGCAGACCCTGATCTAACTAGTGTTTATCAAGACAAGTAATTCAGTCACCATATTCAAAGCAAAAAACTCATCATAAAATTTTAATTAGGTTTCTGAACTCAAAGCAGTCATGCAAGCTGAAATCAAGTGAAGAATGCAAGACCAAACAATCATGCCTAATCACATAATATCTAAGGATATCAACTACTACATTTATTTTGTAATTAATAATATTAAAATCATTGGATCAGATTCTTTTTTCAAGTGAGAGTAATCAAAAACAGAAAGGGAGTCAAAATAGACAGATGAGTAGTTTAAGAAAATAACACAGATTTCCTTGTTAAAGAATCTGTCTTGTATCACAGCTGAGTCAAGTCTGAACACTGCAGGTTCTGTTCTGCTAGAGATACGCACAGCAATCTTCATAAAGCCCAAGAAGTCACCTTCACCTCCCTTAGCATTTCCTTGAAACACTCCCTTGATATATTCAGAACAGATGAGAGGCAGGTTGCAGAAAAACTGGCTGCCTTGATACCAGAACATTCCCAATGTTCCAGTGACCTGAAAGTACCTGATCCTGTCAGCAGACAGCTTAGTTGTCCCACTGCAAAGGGCTGTGTGAAATTTGTCCTTGACCTACAGGGAGAACCAAGGGTTATGCTCACAGAACCACCACCAAGAAAACATTCCTGAACACTGCCTTTGTTGTTCGGGGATAAAGTACACACCTGTCAAACTAATATTAAAAATTAGTTAGCTGTAGTATTTCTTATCTTAACCTAATTTGATAGGAAAAAATGTGTTTACTTATCATTCTACATGTGAGTGAAATATTGATTGTTCTTAAGTTAAAGTTTTACTGGGTAAGTTTACTGAACAATAATTTAAGATAAGCAAAACTACAGAAGAAGCAGACTAGGGAGAAGATGAGAAAAAATATTTATTTACAAGCATGATCTGTATATAATCAGACGATTTTGTTAAAGTTTACCAGCAGGGCTAAAAATGTATCACATGAGGTCTCTATAAAATGCTCAAGATACTCTCAGAAAACATGGAGTTAACAAAACACATTATACTAATCATATGAGCATGTTGCAAGCAAGTTCATTAAAGTACCGATGCATATCAAACATGAACCAGTAGGCCAGCAAATGAATATGGACAAAATGGAAAAGCAACTCTTTCAACACAAAGCTGCCCACCTCCAGCCAGAGCCCTAGTGAGGATGAGGTAAAAAAATGGAAGATGTGATGGAAAACTGATTAATTTTAACTTTGAATACTTAAATCTAACACTAATGAGAGACTATTACTGTCTTGTCAGGCCCAACAGCAGAGACCTGCTTTAAAACTCTAGGTAAGAACAACCAGATGTGTCACCATGTGTTAAACTAGAACACAATTTTCTGTCTGTTCTGCTTTTACCCTTTGGTTGCCCATTTCAATCTTAAGTCTGTCTATTTTGTTTGCCTTGAACTGAGGATATAGGGAAAGGAGACAATTTGGTGAAAGCTAAAACACCTGCTCTGTGCCAGAAGCCCCAAGAAGTACTCAGAGAGGTGCTTGGAAGCTCACGCGCTGAGAAGCATTTTCTGCCAAGATGCAAAGGGTCAGCAGGGCATCTTCTGTTGCCAAAAAGCACTTTCCAGAAGCTACAAATCTGAGCCTTTCCTGGGAGTTATCAAGAGTACACAACACAGCTCCCCACTCACCCAAAACTGCAAACTCACGCTGTGATTTCTGCATGTGGAAGTCCCCATGAAAGGCAGAGCACGGCCACTCGGAGCGGAGAATGGAGCAGTTTGGACAAGACACAGACACCAGCTCAGCCTTCAGAACACTGGGAAACACAGAACATCTGCAGCCCTGCATTTGGCTGAACCCTGCTGTATCTGCAGAGAGAACAATGAAGTGCATGAATAAAGCCCTCTGAGGCTCAGCTGGCAGTTTGATTTATTATACTCACGTTAAGCCTCCAATGTTCATTCTCTGCATAGCTCAGATACAGCAAAGGATTTGGTTTGGACTAACTTACTTTACTTCTGTATTTTTTACATAAAATGCCCATGTTCTTACAAATTTCACTAATACCACTTTGATATCTAACATGTTGACTCAGTGTGAAACATCAGAATTAAACAGCCTTTTAGCTTCCTCATTCCCACAGGATTCACCATGCCCTCAGACACGAAACAATCTTATCTAGGGCACTTCTTGTGAGTATTTTAATCATTTTCCCTTTATCTTTCTAACCTTCACTTCTGCAGAAATACAGACTACATTTGCTCTACCTTCTTGTGCTATTAAGACTCTTTACCACTGTTCAGACTGAGGCATGTTAATACAGTGTACAAGGAGCAAACTGGTACTACTAAAGGATAACTGCAGGCATGCAAAATTATCTATACTAAATAAATTTTAAACTGAAAGGTGTGTTGTGATCCTTCCATTCCGCCAGCTTAGACAATGCCTCTTTTTTGGGAAGTAGGGCATTCTCCAGTTAGACCAGTTCACTACTCTTCTAGCCAATGGAACTTTCTGAGAAAGAAGAAAGCAGGAACATTTTGAAACAAACACAAACAGAACCAACTTACTACTGATCAACTGGATCTCAACACACTCTCATATGTATACCTTATTATTATTACAAATTGATATTATAACCTTTTTCAAGTAAGAATCAGAAGGGAAAGAGGGCTTTTTTTGTTCTATTTCTGGATTTATTTATTTTCTACAATCCTTAGCATTGCACGAGAGGTTACAGGATCAATCATTCACCAGTGCGGCCATCCCCTCCTGCTCTTCTTTCCATTCCACACTCCAACAGGGCATCCCACCAACGATCTGGAAAAGACCTCTGAGCCAGGCAATGAACACTCCAGCCACACAGCCACCCAGAATTTTCCAATAAATTACATAAAGTTATGTAAACAATTTATCACAAATAAGTCTTACTGACTTCCAGACCTTTTCAGAAAAAATAAACTAATCTATCATACCACAGGTTCAGGCACTAAGATTTTGAATCATTTTAATATTATTCCATGTCATGCATGCCAAAGGTAGATCTCAATAAATTTGCAGATGAAGTCTATAGCAAACTGAACAGATTTTTTTTAATGTTTTCCAGTCCCTGATAGTTCTGAAAGCACTAACTTCTCCCTCATCCCAGAAGTTCCCATGACTTTGGTAGGCATGCCTTCACCCTCATATACACTTCTAGCTTCAAGATTTTTACCTCTCTGGAGTATGAACACTGATCACAACAAAAAAATCCCCAGCACATTCACCAAACCCAAAATGCAGCAGCATGATAACCAGCATACTGACAGACTATTCAGCTTGTTCTCAATCTGATTATTCACGTGTTCTGTACTGACTGCCATCTGCCCACTCCTCCTCCTGTCTGTATCTGACACACACTTTGTGCCATCTCATAAGCCTTTTTTTGTTTTTAGCACTTCTCTGCACATTTCCTTCAGGACACTGCTACACAGAGGGAATAAACTGCATTGTAAAATTGTTTCCTGGTGCTCCACAGGCATTACATTTCAAATCAACTCAAATTTAGAAAATGTTTTGCCACGTGACATTCAAAAAAACCCTATATACTTATCTTTTGCTTTTAAAATATTTATATATATATATATTATGAATGCAGATAAATTATACATATTAAATATATGTATAAATATATTTACATACATATCTAAGACAGAAGATAGATTCAAGACAAAGGCAGCCACTACTCACACTCATTTTTTTCCCCATTTAAACTGCAATTTGAGCACTAATCATCAGAAGACATATATCAGAGTAAGCACACAGGTATTTTTATTTTAGACAGACAATCCACTCCTTCATAGAACTTGACAGTTATCTCTATTAACTCCATGGCTATTGTAGCCAAATCTTATCATGCACTGAAAAGGACACTGGGATTAATTGTGTAGTTCCAATCTGGCCCTTTTGTTAGTATCAGGAATGCTCATTCCCCAAGTTGTACATGACAGTCACTTAAAACTCCATCTGGCTTTTATGATTTACACCAGGAACTTCCGTGCTAAGAGTTCATGGATGTATTAACTGCACTGAGGGTTTTGGGATTTTTTTCCCTCTCTCTTAAAGAAAAAAGTTCACAAATAGCTCAAGTATGAACAAACCTGCAAATGCCTGTTAGCACTCAGAAATTTAGGAAGAAACAAAGAAAGATTTTCTGCTTCTTTACACACGGCTTGTTTGAAAAATGTGGAGAAAAATAAATGCAAAAGATCCTTCTCTTTACGCTCTCTTTTGCTGACCTTTAGACCTGACACCCACTGCATCCGGTGGGAAATTTTTTCCAAGAGCCAGGCTTTTTGTAAGCAGATTTAAGCATCCAGATCACATTTTATTTGCCCACATCTACTAAAAAAGCTACCAATTCATAACATATATATGGACTTTCATATCTACATAAGTATCTGTCACACAATATAGTATAATTAGCAGAATCTTGAATGTGCCATGTGAAAGTACTTTTGAAGCTTGGGGTTTTTTGGGGGAGGTTTTTTTTTGTTTTTGTTTTGTTTTTTTACAATATTTCTTATTATAGATGCTACAAATCTCTGCCTAGTCTCCTGTATGTGGTTTTAAAACATATTTGCATATCCTCCATAAATAAAAAAACCACTAGGAAAAGTCCATGCATCCCTATCTTTGGTCAATAGAAGTAATACTGGTAACTCAATTTCCTTCTCAAAATATAATTTCAAATTTCTCTTAGATGTTTTGCCAATAAATGTCCTTAAACTTGCAAGAATAGCTTACTTAAAGGAATCTGTTCAGTTTTTCAGCATCTAAGGACTGCACCTGTCTTTTTTAGATAACCAGTCCCCTTGTCAAGTCTTGCATTCCTCTTGTTTCTTCCCTAAAACGAGAAACTGTTTTGTGCAGTAGGGGGCAAGTCACTCTGGAAAGTCACAGGAAAAGATTTCTGTTACTTCCACAGAGAACATCAGCATTCCTTTCCAGGTGCATTTCTCCAGGTCAACCCTTCTTCCCTCTGTAGGTGGTTCTCCTACAGAGCTATAAATCTCAGAGTCTTGTACATGGCTGTGCCAGATCAGTGCTCATAAGGAAACTTTCCAGCTGCTCCAAACAAGCCATGGAGTCAGACAAGGACAAGCACATTCACCAAGACAGGTAATCAGGAATTTGGCTCCCTCACACTGCTACAGCACTAACAAAAGAAACTGAAGTATGAAACATTAGACACTGTTCAAAGAAGGTGCTCTGTTTACTTAGAAATAGATTATGCACATTGCTTTACTGCAGGATTTTATGCCAGCAAGTTTCAGCTAGATTTAGCAAGCAAGAAAAACAGAATAAATGTTTGGGTTTAGTGCTTATAATGGAGGGTTTGTTTCAATTTCACCCATCAAGTGGCAATACTTTCATTACACATGATTAAATGCTAACTTCAAGGACAAGTTTGAAGGATCAGCATCTGAAGACAATTCCTCTCAAAGAACTTGTAACAAGAAGTGTGCAGTGACAGTGTAATAAAAGCCTTTATTTTCCAGTCTTAATATTATCGAGGCTTCTGTTGACACTGAAGTCCTTTGGGTTTTATGGCTGTTTTATCACCAGCCATCAAAACTGCATTAGTGGCCCATCTACATGAGATACAGATCAAGGCTTCAGTCCAGTAAAACCTGTCAGATGACTTCACAGTGGTTACAGCTCTGTTACCAAAAGGAGTAGGGGACAAGCTGTGTCTCACTCCAAGTTATTCCTCAGATGTCTCCTAGGACACGGTTATGCTCCTGGCTCATAGGAAACTTGCATGGAGACATTTGAGACAAGCAGCAGCTCTCCACTCCCGTAAGATAACGCCAGTGAATTATCATGCATGAGAACAGCAGGACAGGATGTACAGTGTGAGCTTACATAAGACACAAGGCACTGCTGGGAACCAGCACAAGTGAACAGCATAAATGGCTCAGAAAATGCTGATGTCACTCGTGTACATTCGGCTTGTGCTGGCCAAGTTTCTCTGAACCCAACACTGGCCTTTCTGGCTGCTTGTAAAACCTCACTGTCTGCTCTGCTATAGCCAGATCTCAAAAAGGAACTTGTTTTCAAAAACCTGTGCTTCTTTGTAATGAGAGTTGTTTTTAAGATGAGCAAGAATCTAAAGAAAAACATAAAATGTAATGGAGAACTGGAAAAAGCATGTAATTGTGTAAACAAACACTTACTCCTAATACTTACTGAGAAAATAGTTCAAGCACAACTTACCCATTTTAAAACATGACCTCTGCAAACCTACTAAGGTCAATGAGACTTACAGTAGTTACTCAGTGAGCCCTGCTTGCATAAATTAAAGATGCCTAAGGGTAGCTATGAAACCAGGTATTTGATTTTTCCAGGGCACCTACATATTAAGAATTAACAATGAATTGCCATTCTACCAGAGCAGCTTTCAAGTTCTTTGAAAAAAAAAAAAAAGAAAAAACACAAAACCCAAACCAAACCAGGTTGTGCTTACCTCCTCTTCAACACAAAAGCTTTCCTATTTAACGTTAATCTGATTATGGAAGTTTCATATTAAATTGAGTAGGTAAGTGAGACACTATATATTGAATTACTTTCAAAAAATCCCCAATGTATGAAGCAATCATTGCTTCTTCCTGGTGTATCCTTATACAATATATAAAAAAGATTAGAAAAAAAAGATGAGTAATCTAGCTGCACTAGTCAATATTAAGCAAAACTGTAAAGAGAGAAAACTTATTTCACTCAGGTCAGGATTTGCAGCAGCAACTCCCAGCTCTGTGCTTGGCTGCTTCCATTTGTTATTGCAGTGGCTGCACTTCAGGCAGTGTGTGAACCATGACAGTCAAATCCTTCAGCTTCAGGACTCCTGTATTTAGGTTTTACCTATGAAATACAGGAAGCATTCTGATTTGCCACAGAGAGCATCCTATAAGGTGAGGAGAAAAATACTGTTCCTTAAACTAACACTGCTTTTATTACAGGTACTACGAACTTATTGTCACTCCCTTTAGTATTTCCTTTCAAAAACACCATGTAGTTCAGAGATGTCAACTATCAGGGATAATCCGCTACATTAGAAATTCACAGGGTTTCCTTAGCAGTGGAAGAGGACACCACACAGCTTTGTCCCAAACAGAAGTGGAAAAAAAAACCCATCCTTAAAGTACTTGCAGTGTGAAATAGCAACTCTTCAAAAGCACACACTACATCAAAATATGAAACGTAAGATGACCACAGTGCAAATCACAGGTTATAAAATGTCTTTTAAGCATCCAAGTGTGGCTACAACAGTTCACATCCTGCCTAGAACCTTTCTGCTTCTGTGACAGAAATAGCATCACTATCTACCCTTTATTACTACAGCAGATAAGCATTTCACAGTCATTAGTATGTTTATCTACAGAATGTTTTTGGAAAGCACCGCTATTCCCAATTCATAAGCAATGAGAGGACTGACTGGTGCAGAAAGACTGAACCAAGGTCACAGTGTAAGTCAGCGGTAAAGTAAGAAACTTCACCTGCTTTTGCCTTCCTGCAACTAATACTTTCTATTAATGAGCCATTGCTGCTCCTCTAAATTATTCTTTCAGCAGGAAGAAACAACAGACCGCCTGTGGCATTCAAACTCTACATGCTAACAGCAGCTCTGCTCCAGGGTTTGCTAAAAAAAAAAAAAAAAAATCACACCCAAGGGCCTTGTTCCGTACTGTCACAGAATCCTGCTTGCCACTGGGCTGCTGCAGAGGAAAAAAGGAATATGCATATAAATATTATTAGACAGCTTGCCTCGTTTGCGACCCAGCGCTTTCCCTAGAGAAACAAAACGCAGGCCTCGCATAGTTTTACTCCCTCACGCCACAGACCACCGGGCAAGGGCAAAGTGCAGGGAGGAAGGGACAGCCAACTGGGAGACAAGTTATGCAAAGCTGGGGCCGGGCCGGGGAGCAGCGCTCCCTAAGGCCCACAGGGAAAAAACCCAAAAAACCAAAAAACCAAAAAACCCTGCTTCTGCCGGCGGGTCACGGGGGTCAGAGCCGGGGTCGGACCCGGCACGGGGGGAACACCGGGCGGGCACAGGGCTCCCGTGCGACCCGCAGAGCGCAGGGAGCGCTCTGCAGCTCCCCCGCCGCCGCGGGGACCCCACACCCGGCGTCCTCCCACAGGCGGCACCGACCCAGCCCCGACACCCTGCTCGCCGCCTGTCCCCCGCCCCAAGCTCGGCCGCGGAGCGCCGCTCCTGCCGTACCTGTGCGGGGAGGCGGCGGGGACCGAGGGGCTGCGCCGCCCGGCCGGCGGGTCCCGCGGAGGCTGCCGGAGCGGCCGTGCCCCGCCGTGCCCCGCTGCCGCCGCCGCCGCCGCGCTCGCCGCCCGTTTGACCTTTCCGTGTCTCCGCCGCCCGTCCCCGCCGCCCTCTGACGTCACCGCCATGGCAACCAATCCCCGCCCTCTCCTGGCCCCGCCCCCCAACCCGGGCGCGCGCGCGCGCACGCGCCCACCGGCGGGAGGGGCGGGGCCGCGCGCGCGCCCCGCGGCCAATGAGCGCGCGCCGGGGGCGGCCCGGCCCCGCCCCCCGGTGTCACCCTCAGGGCACGGGGCCGGTCATAAAGAGATAACTCCGATATTACATATATTTACATTATATATCTGTGTGTATATATGCGTGTGTGTGCGTATATCTCTGTGTGTGTATATATCTATATATATACATGTGTATGTATATACTTTTTTCCCAGTGCACAAGCAGGATTCTGAGACAGTACAGAACAAGGCCCCTGGGGGCAATATTCTTAAATTTATTTTTTTTTCTTAAGCAAACCCTGGAGCAGAGCTGCTGTCGGCTGCAGGGTTTGAAAGCCAGGGACAGTCTGGTGTCCCTGTGGGCAGGTGTGCCCGGGGAGTGCGAGATGTGGGAGCGTGAGCACCCAGCCCTTCGTGGAGGCAGTGCTTCCCTGCTCCCTGCAGGGAGGGAGGAATGCGGGTCCTGGTCATGGCAAGCGGAACATGAGTGCCCTGGCAGCCAGGAGGGACACCCGTGCCCTGGGGTACCGGGGACAGCATGGCCAGCCAGGCAAGGGGACTGTGCCACTCTGCACTGGGGCGTGTGGCAGCACATTTCTCCCTCTCTCGGGATTTTTCATAGAGGTGCACAGAGAGAAATGAAAGAGGAAATAATTTCTATTTCAACTCCTTGTTTTTCTCATGTGGAATGTGTTTGGAGAATTGTTTACCTGGGGTGATTGCTTGATTGGATTCTGGTGAGGATTGTTTGAGCCTGGTGGCCAATCCATCTCTGCCTGGGCTCTCGAGAGGGTCACGAGTTGTGTTAGAGATAGATAAAGTAGTATGTAGTTTTAGTAGCCTCCTTTATATAGTATATTAATGTATTCTAGCATAGTTATAATAAAGAAATCATTCAGCCTTCTGAATTGAGTCAGACACCATAATTTCTTCCCATTGGGTTCACCTACATTTACAACAGGGGCAGCCTCACCTCAAGTGCTGGGGGCAGTCTTGGGTGCCACAATATAAATACATGAAGCCATTAGAAAGTATCCAAAGACAAGCCATGAGCGTGGTGAAGGGTCTGGAGGAGAAGCCATATGAGATGTGGCTGAGGTTATTTTCTCTGCTCAGCCTGAAGGATACCGAGAGGAGACCTCATTCTGCAGCTCCCTCACAAGGAGCAGCATCAATCTCTTCTCTCAGGTGGCCCGTGACAGGACCCAAGGGAACGGCCTGAAATCGTGTCAGTGCAGGTTTAGGTTGGATATCAGGAAAAGGTTTTTCACCCAGAGGGTGGTTGGACACCAGAACAGACTTTTCAGGAAAGCTGTCACAGCACCAAGCCTGACAGTGTTCAAGAAGGGTTTGGACCAGGCTCTCAGGCCCATGGTGTGACTCTTGGGGATTGTGCTGTGCCAGGAGTTGGGCTCAATGGTCCTTGGTGTTCCTTTCCAACTCAGGATGTTCTCTTTGATTCTATCTGGTTCTGTTCTGTGAATTTAAATGCTGCCTTTTCTATGCACACATTTACATAAACCCAGATTGTGCCATCAAAGTTTGCCTGTTCCTTTCCATCTCCAGTGTTCTTCCATATCCCATGGCACTTAAATATTCCCTGGGGATCAAGCTGCGTCTCCAGTGCCACAACTTACAGCACATTCCCATTGTTTAGAGAACATATGGGTAATTGCTTTTTCTTTTCCCAAAATACTTGGCATGGAAATCATATATGTAATATGTATAACATATGGAAGGCTGCATATTTCAATGCCTCAGTGCACAATGTGTGCATAAATGTTTTAGATGTAAATGCTTTTCTTCGCACACTTGTCAGCTGTGAGCATGTGCAGCTTGCAACGTGTGCAAAGTCAGTGTTTGACTCTGGGTTTGTACTTTGTTTAATGAAAGGTGTGTGCATTATCAGCATGTTACATATTTTAGGCTTTAAGTCAAGTACGCAGGCATGATATATAAATACACTATCAATTAGCAATTACACTGCCTTTCATCTGCCCGACATGCAGAGTACGCTGTATACTTTGAGTGCCACTTGCTGTCATTTTTGGAGCTGTGACAAATTTCAAATTATTTCAACCAGAATATTCATTCAGAAATACTGTTCTATATTCATAAAAAATACAAGCTGTGATGTATTCATCAACCCTTTCCTGAAGGTGGATAAAAGGGCATGGATACAGTTTTCCTGCCTTTGAAATGCGCAATGCCTTTCTTCCAGAGTATTAAAAAAAAACACTTTAAATCCTATCATGGCATGACCAGGATCTGCGGTGTTAATTCATGCATGATCTGGTCTTGCTCATTTAAAGACAGAGTTTTAATAAGGAAGTAATTTTAAAGAGACATTTTTAGCTATCACTGAATTTGTGACATGGCTTATTTCTTATCAGCCCAAGTGGATTTAGTGTTGTGCTACTGACTGATAATGCTGTGGTTATGGGTTCCATACCTGCACAGCCATTCACTTGAGAGCTGGGCTTAGTGATCCTTGTGGGTCCCTTCCAAATCAGAATATTCTGTGAAAACACTGCACAGGCTGCTGTTTAGAGCAGGACCGTTTGGGTGGAAGGCCACTCTTGCGTGGCGGGCAGTGAGGGTGACGCCAGCCTGTCCTGGGAGGCCATCCGTGGATCTGCTGGCTTTGCACAGTGGTTCTGGTTGGTGCCAACTCTGCTGGAATTTGCTTTTTCATGGGTTCCATTAATTCCAGTCTCCAAGCCTTGATCCTGACTGTGGCCAGCTTGCTGGGCTGTGAAGGGGATGAGTTTGGCCAGTCAGGAGCAGCCAGGAGTGACATTATTCTACGGTACCAGATAACAATCTGGGCTGGATGTGCGTGTCAGCCAGGATAAACTGTGTATCAAGACACCAGGACTTGGACTTTCATATTTTAAATGCTGAAAAAGTGCACTGTCCATGTTACCAACCCCCAAATCAGGAGAAAGACTTTGAAAAGCAAACTTTTAGGAAGGGCATAAAGAAATGGGCCAGCAGGGATCTATCAGTATGACCTCAATGTTTCCTGTCTTCACATGTCTTGTTGCTCCCCACTTCAGCAAAGAAAGCCCTTTCTTTTCTCCCCAGGGGTCAAGCAGTGTTTGTGGGGGACATAAATACAGTCCTCAGCATGAGTAAATTCAAATCAAATATACTTCTTGGCATTTTTATCCATGAAATCTTAAAAAAAAGCCAAGATAAGCCCATAATGACTAATTGGACGTGACGAAATGAGATGGCACAACAATGTAGGTGAGGGAGGAGATGGAGAAATCAGTCCTGAGGAAAGATCTGGCACCCACAAGGCATGAGCGAGCCAGAGCTCATCGGTTCAAATATAATCTTCCAGAAAGGGAGGGGGCAAAAACAAAAACAACCCACAAATGTCTCTCATTCTTGCACAGAAAATGCCAGGCTCCTGCACCTGATTTCCATGAGAAAAGCCACTTCTGGCATTGACATTCTGTTGCATCGAGTCCCTGACACAGACCTCCTCTTCAATGCAAGGCTGAAAGAGGAGGGGAGGAATGAACTCTGCTTTCCCAAAGGGCTGGAGCTGCCAAAGAGGCCCATGGAAAGCCAATTGTGCAATGAGGGAAAACAGGGAGGGAGGATCCCTGCTCATAGACACGGTGAAATGCCTGTCGAAAATAAGTGGGAGAAGGGCCTTATAAGAGGCATTTTGGTGCATTTATACAGATGTCGAGTGAGGCTGGTTTAAAGCAAAGTTGTTGACAAGGACACTGATGTGGGGCTGATTTTGAATGCTGAGGCTGCTGCACTCAGGCCTTCCCTTCATATGCATAGCATCCATAAGTGCTGCTGATTTCAAATCCAGGCTCTCACAGAGGTTTTTAAGCACTTCTCATTCCTAGATCCTGGAGTGCTTTACAAAGACAGAGCTATAAATAAGATGGATGGGAAAGTGAGGAATTGAGAGGGGCTTTTAAAGAGCAAGGGATTGTTTCTTCAAGAGTTTCTGTGGATAAGAACTAGATTAGAACTGTCATTTTAGTGAATATAAAATATTTTGCAATGGTGCACTGTCTCAAATTATTTGTGCATACATATTTATGTTATTAAGGAGAAGTTTGTGCCCAAATTGTCTCTAGCTAAGCTTTTGGAAAGTACAAAAAGAAAAGCATTTAATGTTAGATTTTAACATAGTGTATGGATGTTTTAGGCACTTTTAAACTGAACAGATGAAAACCTTTTATTCCTAAATGCCAGAAATCCAGTGATATTTATGTAACTATGTAATTTGACCTGTCTGTTTTATATGTTCCCAAAGGTTTATTATAGGCAGCTTTCAAATTAAGTGGGCTGGAACATTTGATGCTCTCTTTCCTGCTTCTTAAAGGCTGTGCAGAGCCCATACTCTCTGAGTGACACTGCTGTTAAAGGGGTAGCATTTTGAATTTCTCATAAGGTGTGCAGAGAAGGAAAGGAGAGCACCCTGGTCCTGATTCCAGCTCTATGCTCTGAAACAGCCATTTAATTTCTACCTTCTTTGTCTTCACGGAGCCAGGTACAATAGTTCCTTGTTCTCCAAAGGGGCATGAAGCTTAATTAACCTTGAGAAAAGGAAGGGGTAAATTGCCAAGAACAACAGGGAGAGAGTGGGGCAAGCCCCAACACAGTAAGCATCTCTGTATTCATACTCACCTGTATGGGGC